GGGCGGAGCAGTTGATCTCAAAGCTGTTTTTAGTTTGGACATTCCGAGGTGCTATGACGCAGGTCCTGTCAGGGACCTGGTGGTGGAAGTCCTGGGCCTTCTGAGAGAAACTTTACAAACAGGCGCTGCAAACACCAACAAACACAGCACTTCATTTTCAGGATTCATGGAGGCCTCCAATGGAGCACAACCATTCTTGTCTCCAGTTTGCTGAGAGGAGACTGAGGCTCAGGGAGATTGCATAACCACCCCACCACTCTCCTCCAGGACCTGGCAAGTTGGAGGCAAAAGGAATGAGAAAGCAGCTCTGCCCTGCCGCTGCCTGGACAGAGGCCTTTCCTCCCACGCCAGTGGCCACCAAGGGGGCTGGCATCCATTCTCACCTGTGTGCGATCAAATATGTGTGAGTCCTGCAAAGATACAGGTTTACAGGTTTTCAGTTTAAGTGACTGTCCTTCATTCTGAGATTATGCCCTATTTTGGTGTAAAAATTCATTTTGAAAGTGCTGGTCATGGTAGATGGTAGGGTTTGGGGCGCAGTAAGTAGGATTTTTACATGACAAAATTAAAAGTTGGCAAATCTATTGTTGGTCTCTAGAATTTGCTTGGAAATACTAGAGGTCTCTGAAATCTCAAAGTCTGGGAGCCACTGAACACTTTCCACCCTCTCCCCAGGAGGCTCCCTTGCACCACAAGTTCCCTTTGTAAAGGATTCAATAGGAGAGGTCTACAGGGGCCTGGAGTGAGTGTGCAGAACCTGCTGGGATGAGAGTGCTGGTGGAGGGCTGTCCGCCCACGTGGGGGGAGGGCAGGGATGGGCACGAAGTCATCTCCCAGGAATTCGAGGGGACTGCCTGCTGTTCTAGACCAGCTCCTGGATTTTTTTCCTTGCTTCCCTCACCGGCTGTGTTGGCACAATGCACAATGGTGGGAAACAGTTGACCGGACCCTGGGGACCTGCAAGCCTGCAGCCACCCCTTCCCACCCCCTCCTGAACCCTTGATCCCTGGCCCTGCAGCCCCCACAGTTTCCTGTTTGCCCACTCTATTTGCCCAGCTCCAGAGACAGAGCTGATCCTTGAACTCTAAGTTCCACATCGCCCACTGGGACCTGTGAGCATTGGCAAGGCCTGGGCTGGACTTATCAGCCGCCAGGCCCGGCCCCTGGTGGAGACATAAATAGGCCCAGGGGAAGCTGCGGCTCAGAGACCGCTGAAGTGCTCGCCCAGGTAAGTGCTGCTCCAGGTTCCTCTGGCGTCCCAGCTCTGAGCTCAGGCCCTGGCATCTTGGCTCCAAGCTCTGCCCCATGCTGGGGCTCTGGATACTGAGGCCGTCTGTCTCTCATGACCCTCCTTCTCCTCCCTGCCTGGAACGAGTGGGAAACACAGAGCTGCTCTAGCCACAGGCCCCTCTCCTCCTCCAGGTCACCCAGGATGAAGGCGGTGGTACTGACCTTGGCCATACTCTTCCTCACGGGTAAGTGGTCCCAACCTAGAATGCCAACCATCAGGAGAGGCCTTCTCCCCAAACCCCTGCAGTCTACCCTTCTGGTCACAGGGAGCAGAATTTCTCATAAGACCCCTCTCTCCTGCCCCCAAGCCTGGCCTTTCAGCTCAGACCCTGGCCCATAGCTGGCCTAACTGAGTGAGTTTTCTCTCCCATCCCAGGGAGCCAGGCTGGGCATTTCTGGTCCCGCGGTGGCACTCAGGATCCATGGGATCAAGTGAAGAATCTTGCAAGCTTTTATGTGGAGCCAATGGAAAAGACTACCAGAGACTATGTGGCCAAGTTTGAAAGCACCGCCTTTGCAAAAATGCTGAAGTAAGGAGCCAGTGTGGGGTCTAGGGTGAGGTAGGGGCTGCTGAGGGACAGGTGCTAGGCCTGTGAGATGTGGCCAGACTGGCTGAATCCCCACCTGCTATTTGATGGGCCCCATACCTGGATGGAGAAACAGGCATGGGATCTCCAAGCAGGGTCACAGCCTCCTAGCAAGACACAGACCATGCTGCCTGGTCATTTGCCACAGTTCACATTCTGCCTGCAAGTGCGACAGGCCCCTTGCCATTCCTCCGTCCCTCTTCTGCTCTTGCCTAGCAGCAGGGATGGCTGTGTTAGAGAAGAGAATGGTCTGGAAGTACAGAGGTGAGGTCCTTAAGTGGCCCAGCCTTGAGGACAGACAAAACTGAACACCACGGTCTCCCGTTAGCCTTTCAGTCTACCGAATGCGGTTGGGGGGGGAAGCGCTGGGTGAGACCGCATGGGAAAGCCACAGCTGCCACACTTTCCGGCAGGTGCTGCCCAGGTCTCACCATAGGTAAGCTGGGTGCTGGCCTGCAGCTCTGCGGGTGTCCAGGGTGCCTGGCGGTCGGCCTCCCCCGGCCCTGAGAACT